AGATCTCATTTTATTTGAGACATATGCTGGAGCATTGTCAGTCTTATTTTTTTTAAGATTTATTTATTTATTATGTATAGTGTTCTGCCTGCATGTTTGACTACAGGCCAAAAGAGGACACCAGATCTCATTATGGGTGGTTGTGAGCCACCATGTGGTTGCTGGGAATTGAACTCAGGACCTCTGGAAGAGCAACCAGTGCCCTTAACTGCTGAGCCATCTCTCCAGCCCACATTGTCAGTCTTAAATCTTCAAAATTCTGCAAAATGAAACACATCCATTTGCCAAATTTCATTTCTTTGTATAACTTTAGGATTGCTTCCTGCAGGTAATAGAGTTTGGTTATAGAAGAAACAAGTAGGACATTTTTTTACAATTTCCTTGGCTTACTGCCAAGTGATGGAAAAGTCCCTTTTCAAACCTTTGCTATTTACATGGTGTTTCTTATGAAATTCTGAGGCTTCTAGCACATTACCTATTAATAATTGATCAATCTCATCATTACCTTGTACAGACCTGTATGGGATCTGATGTGTGTTATATATATAGGATGTTCCCTATTTCTGATTATTTCCTGTAATTGTATAAATAGTGAAGTTAATTCTGACTCACCAGGAATAAATTCAGCAGTTTCAAGATGTAAAACAACTCTCTCTGCCTATTGAGAGTCAGTAACTATATTGAGAGGGTCCATGAAGTTCAGTAGGACCATAAAAATGGCATACAGTTCTTCTTTTTGTTCAGAATTGTAGGTGCTTTGAGCTACTTTACTTCAGTCTCCTGATTTATATCTTGCCTTTCTTGATTTATTTGCATCAATATAGAATGTGGGGACTCTAGAGATTAGTTTTTGCCGTACAGTGTGAGGAAGGACCCATTCAGTTCTTTTTATGAATTCTATTCTCTTGCTTTTGGGATAACAATTGTTAATCTCTCCCAAAAATATACAGCAGGCTCTTTGCCAATATTTATTATCTTTCCATAGTGAGGAAGTTTCCTCATTAGTTAAAGGTACTGCAGTTTCTGCTGGGTCCATTCCTGTCAACTGATGAAGTCTCAATTTTCCTTTTAGAACTAAATCAGAGATTTTTTTTCTACATAAGTCTTTAAATTCTTACTCGGTTTACATGTTAGAAATGTCCATTCCAATATAATATCTGCATCAAAATCCCTGTAGAAGAGTGACTAGAGGAGAGTATGACTAGAATACAGTTAAGTTCTGGATTCCTGACCTTTAAAGGTATAAGTATTCTTTTTCATTCTGTATTAGCATTGTCAAAAGCCAAAGATTGAGTTAATACTTATTTAATTCTTGTTCTGATACTTTTTTGTTTGTTTTTTTCGAGACAGGGTTTCTCTGTATAGCTTTGCGCCTTTCCTGGATCTCACTCTGTAGTCCAGGGCTGGCCTTGAACTCACAAAGATCCACTTGCCTCTGCCTCCTGAGTGCTGGGATTAAAGGTGTGCGCTACCACTGCCCAGCTATTTTTTTGTTTTTGTTTGGTTTGGTTTGGTTTTAAAAGACAGGGTTACTCTGTGTAGTTTTGGTTCCTGTCCTGGATCTCGCTCTGTAGACCAGGCTGGCCTCAAAGTCACAGAGATCTGTCTTGCTCTGCCTCACGAGTGCTGGGATTAAAGGCATGTACCACCACCACCCAGCTGATACTGTCTTGTTTAGAGTCTTGGTCAGTCTTTGTTAAAAAGAAAATCAGTAAATGGTTCTTTTGACCCATGGAAGACCTTCGTATATAGCTCAGTTGGTTTCCCTGGTTCTGAAATTTTTTCACAAGCATTTAAAGCTGCTATATAGCATAGAGATACTGTATGCTCATCAATGGTACCTTGTACATTTATATCAGCAAAATGGCCCTCACCAAGAATTTGATCTTGCGAGATCTCAAAACCTTTCATTTTACGTTGCTGCTCAAGGGCCTTTGCTTTTTATCTTGACCAGCTTTTCCATTGTAACTGCTAGCTATATTCTAACACAGTTGAAATTAACTAATTCCAATCATCTGGTATAATTCTATTTCTAGAAGACCATGTATTTTACAACTGTTTTACATATGTTGAATGTATGCCATAGGTAACTACAGCCTCCCTAATGTGTTTTAAATCCCTTATATGAAAAGGTTGCCAGATATATTCTATATATTCTTCAGGATGTGTATCATCTGCTGGCTTCTCATGGATGATGACAGGATAAGCCATTTTATAAGAGCCACCTGGCAATGTTATTACGTGTGTGTGTGTGTTTGAACCTCCTCTGTTGTAAAGGATTCTAGAGATTTCATGGAATCATACATTTTTTTATGAAACATATGATTTCCACAACTTTGTTCTATCAATTAGAGATGATCTTTCCTCCTTAGAAATAATCTGAATGGCATTAAGATTGTTCTGAAGGGTTATTGTTATATACATTAAGTATTCATATTTATTATCACCACCTCCTTCAGGCCCTAGAGCCCAAGGTCATGGGTGGAGCAAATACCACTACATACCAATACATATATACATATATACACATATGCATGTATATTGGCTGTCCTGTAACTTACTCTATAGACCAGGCTGGCCTTGAACTCAGAGATCTACCTGTCTCTGCCTCCCATGTACTAGGATAAAAGGCATGTGCCACTGCCACCTGGCACTGTGTATATGTATTTTTTCTTTTTGAGACAGGGTTTCTCTGTGTAGCTTTGGAGCCTTTCCTGGAACTCACTCTATAGCCCAGACTGGCCTTGAACTCACAGAGATCCGCCTGCCTCTGCTGGGATTAAAGGTGTGCACCACCACCGCCCGGCTTGTGTATATGTATTTTAATAGTCTTTTGTCATTCAAGAACTCACTTAGAATGTCCATTATTGTTTTCCTTTTTTTCCCTTGGAACTACTGGGGTTGAACCTAGAGCCTCTTATATCCTAGATAAGCACTCTTTCACCGAGATACCCCCAGAGTCTTTAGAATAGCCATTCTTCTATTGCTCATTTATTTTAAAAAAGGCCAGTGGGTATGGGAGAGATGGATCAAGGGTTAAGAGTTCTTACTGTTCTCGAAGAGGAGCCTATTAATTTTCAACATCCCCATGGCAGCTCACAGCTGATTGTAACTTTAATTCCATGGGGTCCAGTGCCCACTTCTGACCTTGGAAGATACCAGGCATGCATGTGGTGCACAGACATACATGAGACAGAACATCCATACACACATTTTAAAAATTAAAAATAGCTGGGCAGTGGTGGTACCTTTAATCCCAGCACTCTGGAGGCAAAGGCAGGTGAATCTCTTGAGTTCAAGGCCAGCCTGATCTATGCAGTGAGTTCCAGGACAGCCAGGGCTACACAGAGAAACCCTGTCTCCAAAAAACAAAAAACAACTTTTTTTATTGAGGGGCGGGACAGAACAGTGTATGAATGTGCCGCAGCATGTCTAGAGGTCATCGGACGACTTGCAGGTGTCAGTCTCTCCTTTTATCTCGTGTGTCCTGCGATTGAGCTCCGGTTCTCAGGGTTGGCAGTACCTCTAGCAACTCAGCCATCTTACCTCTCTTCAGTGATGTTTTTATAAAGTCTTCTCACTTGCTACATTCCTGTCTTCAGTATGGATGGCCCCCTGACGAAGAGAAGTTCTCAAGAGATTCAGGGAGTGATAAAAATGTATCTAGTTTTTTATGTCAATATCATATTAAGGGCTGGAGTGACTGTTCAGTTGTTAGGACCTGAATTTTACACTTAGAACTCACAACTTTCAGAAGCCAAATATAGTAGCATGTGCTTGTAATCCCAGAACTGGAGAAGCAGAAACAGGCAGGTCCTGGGACTCATTGGCTAGCTAGACTACCCTAGTGGCCAGTAAGAGACCCTGTCTTAAAAAAAAAAATCCAGGCAGTGGTGGTGCACACCTTAACCCTAGCACTTGGGAGGCAGAGGCAGGTGGATCTCTGTGAATTTGAGGCCAGCCTGGGCTACAGAGTGAGTTCCTGGACAGCCAGAACACAGAAAAACCTTGTCTCAAAAAACAAACAAACAAAACAAAAAAGAATCTGGGCCAGCAAGATTGCTTGCTACCAAGATTGCCAAACTGAGTTTGATCCACAGCTCCACATGGTGGAAGAAGAAAACCAACCCCGACAAGTCACTCCAACCACGTGTCCTGTGTCATATGTGCCCGCCTACCCATTCCACACAAGAATAACTAAAAACAAATTTAAATTAGTTGCTGATGCCTGAGGTTGTCCTCTGGCCTTCATGCACATGTGTGTGCACACACACACAAACACACACAATATTTGGTGTTCAGGGAAGGGGTTCCCAAGGCCTACCCTTGTTTATTGGCAGTTGATAACTTCTGGGAGGGAGAGTGATTTTTCTTTAAGAGTGGGGCCACTGGAAGGTTGTCCCTTCCCCAGTGGGTGACTCCATGCTCTAGTGTAGATGGGCAGTGCTAATTTGATTCAATGGATTAAAAAATTTAAAAAAGAGGACTTGAAGTTGTGAAGGAGATGTGATGGGTTTTGGGGGGAGTTGGAAGTAAGGAGTAAGGGGTAAATATGATCAATATATATTGCATACATGTATGAATTTTGAAAGAATAAAGGGTAAATATCATAAGTGATAGAAATGAATACATATATTTATCATGCTTACTGTATCTCAAAAGAAAAAGAAAAAACCCATCAAGCTTTCCTGGTTGGCATAGCAAGTTTACCTGTTTACTCTTTTCTTTCCTTCTGAAAATCCTAGTAATTGTACTTCCATCTTATTTATTGCAGTATCAGTATCAAAGGTATCAATATCAAATCAGAGATACCCAGAATTTCACCCATATTAAGCAAGCACCCAACCACAGAGCCACCTCCCTAAGTCCTGTTGTATCATTTGAATGACCGCTGCCAGCTTAACAGTGAGGATGCGCCTCGTTTTCATCTGTGTCCTGTGCTTTTGGTCCTCGGATCCCTCCTGTGGTCTTTCCTCATTCCGTGGTATTATCTGTTGTAGGTGGCCACAAACAGCCGAGTTTACTTGTTTGATATTTTTCTTCTGGGAACTCGTGCTTTCAACAATGGACTTCAGATGATTTTAGAAGACAAGAGAATCTTGAAGGTGGGCATTAGAAGCTGATTCCTGTAGTGATGAGGTTAGGGTAGGTCCTAATGACTCTCCATCTTCTGACTCTGTAGGTTATCCATGATTGTCGATGGCTTTCGGATTGCCTGTCTCATCAGTATGGAATCATGCTGAACAATGTCTTTGACACACAGGTATGAAGGGGAATGCTGAAGAAAAGCCAGCACACATGGATCCTAGTAGAAGATTCCCTGTCTAAAAAATGATTGTGCCATGTGTGGTGGCACATGTCTTTACTCCCAGTATTTGAGAAGCAGAGGCAGGTGGCTCTCTGTGAGTTGAAGGCCAGCTTGGTCTACATAGAGAGCTTCACATCATCCAGTGCTACACAGGGAGACCCTTAAAAAATAAAAGATTGAGCCTGTTTTTCCTGGTGGCCATTCCTGCCCACTTCTCGCATGAATTATGTCTATAACTTGTGAGAACTATAAAAATTGTATAGAAAGTGACTTAGAATCACATAAGAGGAAGTCTTCTCTTTTTACTCTAGAATTGTAAAGGTAAGAAGGAAGCTGGGTATGCCATGACATTCAGAAACTTCAGAAATTTGAAGGTCATTCAGAAGTCTGATGTGGAGACTTAATATGAAGTGAAAAAGCACATCTCACCTTTATCATGTGTTTACCTCAAGGGTGTAGGTTGTTGAGACTATTACAGCCCTTTTAAAAAAAACCCTATTTATGGGGCTATCAGGATGGCTTAGTAGTTAAGAGCACTTGTTGCTATTGCAGAGGACCCTAGTTTTGTTCCCAATACCCACATATCTATCAGTAACTCTGGTTCCAGGGGAACTGATGCCCTCTTCTGACCTCCACAGACACCGAGTATACATATGGTACACACACATGAAGGCAGGTGAACACACATATAAAACAAAGTAAATAAATAATTTTTTCTTAAAAATGAAAAAAAAACCTACCTGGCTCAAAATAATAACTTGATAAGATTTGAATGGGTTCTTGCAAGGGACCGGAAGGAAATGAGAAATGCCTTGCCTAGCCCATTCTTAAAACTCATTTGGTTTCTGATTGGACCCTGAAAGCAGTAAAACCTCTGGTCCCAGTGTGGTTTCTCTCTTTCCCTCTTGTTCTTTCGTCTTTCCTTCCCTCCTTTCCCTTGGTTTTTCTTTTTTTTCCCTTTGGTGCTGGGGATTGGTTATTATTTTTGAGGATCAATTCCTAAGTTCAATTTTTTGTTTGAATATGTGGCTCATTTTACTCTGTATGTATCTACTCATGAAGTGTGTACCATTTCTTAGGTTTGCAGTTCCTTTGGGCCTTCTTTTAGAATCCTTCAGTGTATAGTATTGACACTGCCCATGCGCCATGCTTACTCCCAAAGTCTCAGAGGAGTCTCCCTTGTTCCCCTGAAGCTGTCCGCATAAATATTGTTTTCCTTGCTATCGAATGAACTCAAGGCCTTGCATAGAAGGCAAGCATTGTTGCTATAACGGATCACAAATTTGGCCTGGCTCCTTTAGTTATAGTTCTGAAGTTATAGTCCTTAGTTATAGTCCTCTTACAGTTCTGAAGATGAGAAGGCTCACATCACTTTTCCTGGGTAAGAGTCAGGGCGACAGCAAGATTGTTCTAGAGGTTATTGGGAGTGACTGCTCCCTTGCTTAGGAACAAAACCTTTGGACAGGGTTTCTCTGTGTAGGTCTGTTTATACTTGCTGTGTAGCCTAGTCTGCCCTCAGACTTGCAGCTATCCGCCGTCTTCTGCATCCCCAGTGCTGGCATCATGGGCAGTGCTGGCATCATGGGCAGTGCTGGCATGGGCAGTGCTGGCATGGGCAGTACTGGCATCATGGGCAGTGCTGGCAT